TGTCAAGATCTTGGTGGATTATATATGATTTGCCATGACTACAGATATGATACCTTTGATAATTTGAAAAATATTATCCATTCTAATTTTACAGACAAAAATTTCATAGTTAGTAAATAATTATTTAATTTTTAAAATTAGAGTATAGTACAGATTTCATAGATGTGCTTGCTCAAGAGTAAAGATGCCAAGCTAAGATGGCGAAGTAGATTTATCACTATTAGTTTGAATTGGTAGAATCAGTGAAATTAATTTCACCAGCATCTCTACTCAAGAGCGGTCTAAAAGTTTTTTGTGTCCATATCTTAATTAGTAATTTAAAAATATTTTTTTACTAACCAATTTTATTAGGACCAACTTTTAGAGCATCTCAATAAACTCAAACAACATCTTAGGCGAGGCTATGAAGAAGAGCTAATAGTTAGAGCAAATGGTCATGTAGAACACAATCCTTGTATTTCCTACTGTCTAGCTTATGCATTCAGTGAATGCGTTAATAGTCACGAAACACGATACTCCAACTGTGATAAATTGTTTGATTTTTTAGATTTTATTTATAGATCAGTACTATCAGATGATTTACGTTTACAAATCGAAGAATCTAGAGAAAAATTATTATATTACCTTTCACATCAAGTACGAAAAGTCTACCTAAACGCCCAATTTAAAGCAACATTAAAGGAGCTTGACTTTGATGGTGCGTTTTTCATTGCAGACTATAAAATGCGAATAACACCTCAGTCTGCATGTGAATCAAAAGGTGAATTTTTTGGAAAGCGTAGTTGGACCCTATATACGATTTTGGTCTTTACAAAAAAAGATCAATTCCAATTAGACATTAAAGCATATGACTACTGGTCAACAGATACCAAGCAAGATGCTTGGTTTACCGCTTCAGTTGTATTTGAATCGATGGAAAAAAAGCCTAAATGGATTAAAGTTATGTCTGACAATGGGCTTCATTATCATAATACTGAATTAATATCAATAGTTGGACATTGGCATGAGTAGTATGGTATTGAGGTTCGTAACTGGTTGTTTTTGGAACCTGGGGAAGCAAAAACAACTGTAGATTCACATCATGCTACGGTTAGTATCTTATATAATAATATATGTGGTTTTTTTTTTAATTGTACTATTAAAAATACTCACTGTTATTAGATAACACATGAAATAAAGCAATATTTAAGAATCAGACTAGATATAGCGACAGGAGATAATATAAGCCATGCAATTAAAGATCTGTCTGGAACCATAGTAACAAATATAGAACCAAATCGTGGTGATAACGTTAATGAAGATAAAAAAAAAGATCTAAAGTTAAGATTAAAACCATCAAAGGGATTTCAAATTTATATTACTGGAGATGGCCTGTTGGGGTAGATATAATGGATATATTAGCGCATGTCCTCTACCTCATATTGGAGAATGGAATAACTTTTCACCCGCATATCTGAATAACCTTTGAAACGTTCCACTTCACCAACCAACCCCAACTACATCAGAACAAACAATACCAAGCTCTACATGGACAATTCCAATAAATGATGTAAATGACTATGAAGAAGGTATTGGAATATATTTATATCATTGATTTTTTTAAAAAAATAGAAAAATTCTAATAGCTTGAAACGTTTTAAACTAAAAGACGTTAATGTGGATCAAGATGATAAGAATGAAAGCCAAAAAGAAATAATAAATAGTAAGTTGTAATTATAATACCCTTATCTAATGCATTCGACTTTTTATTCAAGTGTCTAATGTCTAAATCAATTTATTAGACCTTTTAGTCATAATATCAATTCCAAGGTAAGCATGAAAAAATTAATAACATTTGATGTTCTACTTACAAATAAATGTTTTACTATAGTACAATAGATTTGGAATTCCTATTACTTAAGGGGTGAGCATTAAGAGACAATCAAAAGTTAGGCAACAGAGGTAGTGGTACTAGGATCAAAAAACACATAAAATCTATATTAGAATGCTTTTTTTTAAATGAGAATTGAGAAAGTACAGATAGAATGGATGCACAGGCCATGCATAAAGAACTCCTGGAATATGTCGAAGATGGTAATATAGAAGAGGAGGATGTTCCAAAAATTTCTACAATTCAAAATTGGATAAACACATATGCTCATGCTTTTAAACGAAGAGTAGCAATTGAGTTAGATAATAGTGCTTAGTTGAAAGTAATACTTGCTTTTGTTTTGTATCTTGAGATTTAAATAAAATATCAAATATTGATTAGTATTTATAATATAATAAAATAAAATTTTAAACGTCAATAAAATTAAAATTATAATTCATAATAGAATCGCCCAGAAACACAATTTATTTCTATATATATGAGTCCTTTATAAGAAAAAAAAAGTTTTAATAGCAATAGAGAATCAAGCATAAATTGGTTGCAAATTTACCTCAAGTTCATCGCATTCAGCATAAGTTAAACACTATATTCATTTCGTTCTTCAGAAGATCTATTTCAGCAAGAAAGTGGAAATTGCTGTTATACGGGAAGATCTACTTCAACAAGATATAAAACAGGTAGAATTTGCCATCATACAGGAAGATCTGCTTCAACAAGAGGTAAAGCAGGTGGAAATTGCTGTTATACAGTTACGCGGTCATATACTATATATAAGAAAAAATACTAGTAAATGCAGATTAGTATTGCTCTTGCTGTAAAATATTTTTGAAAGCCAAAAATATTTATAAATTTGGTCATGGGATGAGCTAAAAACGAATTATACTAAATACCTTATAGATCTAATTAAGCTAATTATCTCGAAATACTACATAGTGAATGCCGCGTGCATACAAAGTAAAGTCAGGCAGAAAAAAGTATCGATAGTTAATGACCCCATAATTAGAAACTAGTGGCGTCGTTTTATAATTTGTGCTAATTCAATACAAGATTGGATATAAAATTTATTGACCTTGCTTATAACCTGAAATTTTCAATACAAATATCTCGTATATGTGATTTGTGTCATGTTACTATATTAAAATTCTCTAATTTACTGGCAGATTATCAATTAAAGTACTTTTTGGAAATACACTATTTTACTAATAAAAATCACTGCAAAAGCCATTTTTCGCTATAACATCTATATTCACTATGCTAAAATAATCAGTAATAATCAATATCTCTGTGAACTTTACTTAGAAAGCAAAATATACCTACCGCTTATTGGACCGTATCAAACTATACTATAGAGTGAAAGTAACTAGAAATGTTTTTATCTAAAACTATTTTATTACATTAGATTTAAATAAGCTTTTATTTCTTTAACAAGAAGATTCGGGCTTAATATTTAAATTTGATCAGTTCTTGTAGTGTGTTTGAGCTTGTCAATATAAATTAGTAGTTAAAGTTTTAAATATATCTTATATAGTAGATTCTTTAATAGTTGAGTTTTTTTAGTAATAAATATCTTATTTGCCTACTTTATACATATCTATCTATTCTCTACATATTGATAATAAGTTCTTTCACGTGTATCTATTAGTTTGTAAGCTTTTTTATACAAAGTTTTTTTGTTTTCTAATATTGTAGTATTAATTAAAAATTATATATTTGATTAATTAATTATTACAGGAAATCACAAGTAGATCTACAAAAATTAACCAATCATATAAATATCTTTCTATGAATCATACATGGTGCAATTTATACTGTCTATTTTTGGCCTCTAATTTTTAGATCTATAAGTTAGTATGGTAGTTACACTTAGATGCCAATAGAGTAGCCAGTAGGGTTGCAACTCAAACTCTTTTTTTTGGTTACGACATTACTACTTAATTTGGGTTTGGGTATTTCTATCTAGTTTGGGTTTATAACCAAAACCCAAATATATATCCCATTTTGGTTAATAGTATCAAACTCAAAAACCATCAATTCATTAAATAAATATTCATGTATTTGATAATATAATCTTAAAATTTTAAATTATTTAACAAATATCAACTTTTAATTGGGTATATTCAAGTTAAATGTTGATAATTTAAAAATCGAATTTAAATATTATGGATTATAGAATAAATATAGCTAAGCCATTAACATGTAAAAATCTTGTTTGGGTATTGCGTAATAAATAACATTATTGTTGAAACTTATATTAGGAAAACTTGATTATAATTTATGTAGTAAAAAGTGCATGTGTAATTGCCGTCTAATTCATTTTTATCCACAATTGTATATTCTAAGTAATTCTTGAATTTTAAGTGATGGAAAGAAAAATTCGTTTTAAACTCTTCTTATAAAATTTTATTGACACCCTGATAAAACTGGTTTCAATTAAATTATTTAATTATCATATTTGGTAAATAATTGTTTTACTTAAGGTTCATGAATATTAAATCAATGACCTAATTTTAACCTATTTGATTAGATGTGCATAAGATGAAAATTTCTCTTTGAAACTTTAAGTTGTATTAACTTACTATTTGAAATCAGCATAAGAATTTATTGCAAAATATTTTAGATTTGCTGATTCAAGCCACACAAAATAAATGTTAGCTGCATATAAAAATTTCCAGCAACAAATATGAACCTTTTCGTAATTATTAATTCGCATTATCTAATAATCCAATCTACATAGCTACAAGAAAAAAAAAAGAGGGCTACCAATAATATTGATTTTATCTAGAACTTAAAGAATCAATTCCTTTGCTCATTATACAAAACAAAAGTAATAAAAATTTAATAATATAATTAGATATTCAGTAATAATAATAATTAATTATAAACATCCTTATCTTTATATAAATAATTTTTGCAGTTATATTTAGTCAATTAAATCATTTTGGCCTATTGATTAATTGTCACAATTATCTTCATACCATTAACTAAAATTTTTTATAAAAAAAAAGTTAAATACATCTGATAAAAAAAATTTACTTGTATAAAACCTGTATAAACAATATAAAATAGTGTTAGTGTCAGTATTTTAAAGTAATTTCATACAAATGGCATGATTTATTTCTCATACAGATACATGTATCTTGTATATCTTTAGAACCTTAATTGCTAAGTGCGAGAGATTTTTTACTTATATATAACATTAGAAATTTTTTTTTATTGCAGTTCTGTGCAGATTTGCAAAAAAATTAAATAATAAATTAAATGAAAATCTGTGCAAAACTTCAAAATTTATATTATAAATGCAGAAATTAGATACAATTCTGCGCAAAACTTCAAATTCTAAAAAATTTTGCAGATTTTTTACAACAATTCTTCAAAAATACAGATTTTTGCAAATTTGCATTTATTTAATTTTCTCGATAAACACTAGCATTCTTATTCATTAATTTGCAATTAAAATTGATTAAGATTTGAAAAACGGTTATTATAAATAAAACAATCACATCAGTTAATAAATCTTCCAGTTCTAAACTACCAGAAACTATTAATACTTCTGTAAAACGTAAGACAGATAAAAGTAAAGGAGGAAGACCAAAGATGCCGATTTGGGATGACTATAATAAAGGTGAAGATAACGAGCACAGGCATTTTAGAGCAATTTGTCGTTATTGTGACAGGAAAAAGTGGCAATGTGGAAAGCCTTCTACCATGGAAGCACATTTAGCATTTCATTGTAAAGGACCAGTACCAGATGATATTAGAAGAAGATGGTTAATTGAAGTTGCAAAAAGAGGCAAAAAAGCGAATAATAATAGAAATAATGAGTTTTCTATTAAAAAAAAAACCAAAACCAATTAATCAATTACTTTATATTACCAAAGTGTTAGCAAATTAATATCTCAACAATCTGCAGATATTACAAAAGCATTACTTAAAGCTTTTGTATATTGTGGAATTCCTTTTGCAATCATTGATAACTTATATTTTCGAAATTTTTTGAGACTTTTGCAATCTGGTTATACACCACCGCATAAAGATACTCTTTTAGGTTCTGTGCTTGATGGTGAAATTGCATGAATTGTTGTTAAAATGGAAGCTGAGCTACAAAAAACAGATAATTTAACTTTATATAAATATAATTGTCAATTTTTATTTTATACAAAAATAATACTAATTAATCTTATTCATAGCTCTTGATGGTTGGACTTCTCCAAGAGGTAATTCAGTTTATAACTACATTATTATGACTCCAAGTTGTTGTGAATATCTTTATTCTATAGCTGATTATTCAAGAGAACATCAAACAGGAAATTTTATTAGCAATAAAATTTCAGATATAATTGAAAAAATCGGTTCTCACCATTTTGCTGCAGTTGTAACAGATAATAGGTCTAATGTACACATTGCATAACAATCTATTCATCATAACTATTCTCATATTTTAAGCATTCGTTGTATTGCTCATACACTAAACCTAATAGCCACTGATCTTGTAAAAAATTACTTGATTAAAGAAATTTTGAAACAAGCTAATATGCTAGTTTTATTTGTTTATAAATCTTACCTAGCAAGTCAGATTTTGTGAGACACTATTTCGTCAATGAATATTAGAGGTAGATCTTTGGAAACATATTGTGAAACACGTTAAGTATCAATTTATGATACAACAAATTTTATCATACATGTTAGGTTTGCAATTGATAAGGTTTGTAAAATATATTTAATTATTAAAATTTTGTACAGCATACTACTAAATAAAAAATATATGGAGTATACTACGGGTTATTGAATAATTTACTTGTATTACACAAGTAAATCATTAAGTAACTCATAGAACCTCACTTGGTGGGCTCTATTTTAAAACTGTAATATATATCTTCTTTTTTTTTATCAAGATTCTTGAAGAGCAGCCGAAAATATTTACTAACATAGAAGTATTTGGTATTGCATGTGATGAAAATGATATTTTTTATACTTCTTGCAAAAGAATAGCCTTAATTTTTAAGCCAATCAGGCGGATAATTACTTTACTTAAAAGTCATATAGCAAGTTTGGCTGATTGTTTTTTAGGAATCATGCAATTAGCAGCTGCTTTAGAAGAATATCTTCTAGCAACAATTTCCATTCTTTGGCTATTGCAGCATTTAATCGTTGTTATCAGCAATTTGATATTTCATCATATGTTTTGACTTATTTTCTTTATCCATACTACCAAGGTCAGAATCTACAAAAAGGAAAATTTCGTGATATTTGTGAACTAGCAGTTAATTACTACAAAGATTTATATTATAGTGAAAGCAAATGTCGTAAATTAGTAGATTAGTTAATCAAGTATAAAGCAAAAGTTACACCTTGAGACCTTGAATTTTCTTATAATTTAACGCCTTATATATGGTGGAGAGTTGTTGAAAAATTAGCAAAAACCATGTTTGCTATTGTGCCCTCCCAAGCCAACTGTGAACATAATTTCTCTATCTTGAAATGGTTCAGTGAAGGACGTTACACATGGCTTCAGGTTTCCCAGTTAGAAAGCATGGCCCAAATTTATTCATTCTATGTTTCGAATATAAAAAAAGAATTAAATTTTTGCAATGATAATTCTGTGAATATAGAGCTATGCAATAGTGTGTTTGATAAAACAATTTTTGCAGAAATTGATTGTCCTGATTTAAATAAAAATGAAGAAAAAGATGAAATAGAAGAGGAAGATGAAGTAGAAGTTGTAAACTTTACAGCAAATAAAATTGCAATAGTTTTTCAAGATTGGGTGAATATATCAAATACAATATTTGGATTAAGCACTAATCAAGAAGAAACTATATTAGCCGAAGAAGAAGTAAATATGGATTTTAAAAGTGGGTTTTTGGTTCAGGATATATTAAGCAATAATGATTTAAGTAAATAATACTATATTGAATATTTTCAAAGTATTCAAATTTTTTTTATTTTTGAATAAAAATATTATAAGTTATTTGTTTTATCTTCAATCAAAGGCAAGAAGTTAAAAATAAAAGCCTCTTCAAAACCAACCCAATAATTAGAATATTTTTCTAAATACCTTTTATAATAAGCAAAAAAAAAAATTTGTGAAATAAAAATTAGCATATAAAATAAAAGTTAAAAAAAAGATAATTTTTTAACTCTCCTTATTTACACGGATTAAGTAATTTTCTTTGAACATCTTTTATCACTTTGAAAATAATAAATATCAAGTTATATTATGTAAAAAACTTCATTTCAAACTTTTAAACAATTGAAAAAGGTTTTTTTAACTAGTGATAATCATGATCAATTTATTCGATCAATCTGAAAAGTCAATTAATCATGTGACTACTAATTTTTTTTTTATAATACAGGTCTTTAGCAAAACTGTCATCGATACAAAAACTTATTATATTGAATATGATGTTGCTACAATGAGTTATTTGTATAATTGTTAAGAGAGCAATTAGTTGGGGCAAAGTTTTATAAGACAAAAATCAGATGCTACATAGTACGTACGTAATTACTGTTTTATCTTATTTGGAATGAGACCCAAACCTGATTTTTACATGTAAAAAATTTGGGACTTCTAGCCATAATACAAATTATATGTCAGAAATATTTGATATTACAGCAAATTAGAAGACATTTTGCAAAACTAGTAAATACTATTTGGGATTCTACCAAATCCCAAACTAGTAGGTTTGGGTCGCAACCCTAGTAGCCAAGTAATGTCAGACTAAATAGAAGACTGTCTAAGTTAAAAAAAAAAAAATTTAGATAAATTTTACAAAAGTAAATAACTATAGAGTATATAAATCAAGCTATAGCACAAGCTATTAAAATACAGGTAATATATATATGAGACATGAACTGCTTTGCCAGGCTTACTACAAGATAATTTAATACTGTATATATAGATGTACTATTTAAATTTTTAATTTTAATATTAATGAATAGGATTTCAGTATATTACTGATACTATATTGTACTACATGTTGACATTTTTCAAAAGCAATTATCTAATAATTTTAAAATTTAAATTATATTTTAAACAACTTTAATTAGTTTGTTAAGTATTTGGCTTTGTAGACCATGATAATTATTAGTTCTAAATAGCATTTTTTGATTTTTTAGAATTTTTTTTTAAGTTAAATATTTTAGTTTAAGCTATTTTTATATAGTATTTACTAGCTATTATAAAAAATTTTTTTTTATTAATAAATTTTTTTAAAAATTTATAAAAATTGTTAAAATAAGTTTGCTAATTTTAATTATAAAAATTTTTTTAATATTAGACTAATATATAAAAAATAATTTAGCTTTAAAGTTTTTACTAGTAAGTACTATACAAAGATTATATAAACTATATTAAAAAATAAATATGATTTTTTAAAATTTAAAGTAATATAACTTAAGATAAATTAATTTAATATTTATTAAATTTTATAATTAAAATTAGATAGTTATTATTTATAATTTTTATTAAAAAATTTATTTAATAAAAAAATTTTT